TTACAACTCCTGATACTTGTACAATCATAGGTGCTACATAAGTTTATGTAGGCCATTATATGTAAAAATGTGAATAAGATTCATATATAATGGATCTTATCTTTCTATTCATTGTGAACAAACTGTTTTCATGTAGCATTATGCTATTGTATTTAAGTACTGGTGAGAGGCGTGTATGTATTTTGTCCTGGTTAGTTCAACCTCACTGAACAGCCGTTTCAAAAATTTGCCCTAAATGCAAAAAAGAAAATCTTTTGAAAGAATGGAGCTGTGAAAACCTGTGTAGTTAAGTTATTTTAGGTGAAAAGGATGTTTTGTGTGTCAAAAGTTCTATTAGTGGAGATAGCGGTATTATGTGAAAATTCATTATAAGTGTTAATTATTAGAGTCATAGTTGACATTTATTTTATGAATGGGGGTAAGGAAAAGGTTGTAAAAAGATACTAGCATTGCTTTTAATAATAATACTATTACCTGAAGGGTGTACAAGGACAAAATATAGTAAATTTCTTTTGACAATTTTATTGTGTGTAAAGAGCAGAAAGCTAGATTAATGATTTAAGTAATTGTTTGTAGGTTTTATCTCTGTTCTGATGCATAAGCTCATTATTTTGATTGACAGTAAATTTTGGTAATGGGCTTTTACTGTTCAGGAGATAATAGAAAATTGAACCCTAGGCTTGATGTTTGGTCAGCCAATTTTGATTGACAACAGAGTATTTTATTTTGAAATTTTGGTAATTCAAGAGTAAGTTGATACTATTTTCAGTATATATTTGTGTGGGTCACTTCAGAAAGGTAATTGAACATTCAGGTAGCCATCAGTCAGCCTGCAGTCATTGAGTGTAATGTTGCTAGTTGATTTTTTTCTTGTCTTGTAGAAGGTTGGGAGCTGATGGATGTGATTATGTGTACTTCACATAATAATAATGTCAGAGTTCAACTTGTCTATTGTCCCCGAAAAAAACTTCTTTTAGTCAACTATTGTGTAAAATTCTGTTAGTCACTGTGTTGTGTACTGTATTGTGAAAATCTTAATGTTGTGTTTAGCATGTAAGAAATGTTAGGGATTGTTATTTGTAGAGATATTGGTTGACTAGCAATCTACTATTGAAGTATAATGTAATGATATATAATATTCTACTGGACACCTGGAATAAATACTGTGTAGTGTTGTTATTGGATTAAGATTGAACATTCAATTTGTTGATAGATATTGGATTAAAGAGATACAATCTGCTTTATTATTATATGAATGGATGGAAGAACAGGTCAATCCTATGATAACCGTATTAAGGATTTTGTAACAACTCCATACAGTTATTAGTCCAGATTATTGCTCAGATATTTCTGTGTTAATATGTCTTAGAATTGTATAGTTATGGATTACAAATTGTCTCTCAATGATTAATCAGTTAAACATTTAACACTTATAAATAGGCTCTTGTTTTAATCAGGAAATAATTGTTGGTAATTATAATTGTTATCAATTGCAACACTTACATAGATAAGGAAAGGACACTTTTCTGAGAGTGAAACATTTTGAGATAGTTTTTAGTTGTTAAAAGGACTTTAAATTTCAATATCACTTCACTGATGTTAATTTCAGTCTATTATATATTATTCTGACATAGGTTGGAAAATTGAACCCAGGGCTCCATTTTAAGTGTCAAGAGTAATTGTTGAAAGGATGTAATAAAGAAAAAACCTGTAACATGAGGTCATTTTAAATGACATGCCATTTTATAATGTGATTATCAACATTTAATGTTTTTTCATCTGTAAAGGATGTTTCATTACCGTACCTTACAGTGTTCAAGTTATTTATGGATACAAGTTTAGCTGCTGTACTGTGATATTTTTTAAATGTTGCTTTGACTAAGATTTCAACAAAGGAGTTTTGAAGTGAAATTATTATTTTTGATGTGAAGAATTATTTATAACATCAGGTTGTTTTGGTTCAATTGACTGGGTAAACTTGTCTTACTGGCCAAGTTACACTGTATTTCAATTATTTCAGCCTTCAGGCTAATTATCATTAATTAATAACCTCCAGTCTTTCATGTTCTCATTCATGTCAGGTGTTTTGTGAAGTGTCGTCTGCTCCTCTCTCTTTCCCTCCAACTGCCATTATTACTTGAAGTGACTAGGATTTTCATTGAGAGTATTGACTCTGTTTTTGAATAAGTTTGTTTTAGTGTTAGTTTCTATTTGTTTTATGATTATTTCGACTGAAGGTTAATTTTTTTTTTAAGATTCTTGTTGCTGGTACGTCGATTGAAATTGAAATTTTCCAGTTGTTTGCTTTCTTATTCTTTAAGGGAATGCTTGGTAACACGCCTGTATGTCATTGTTAAACTTGATTTGTACATATCTAAACCATATGTAACACAAGTGTGACATAATATATATATAGGTAGTATGTAATAACAAGTTAACCTGTCGTCTTTATACATGGATAGTCATAATATATTGCAGCAGAAAGTCAACAACCAATCAGTTATATATCTACAACAAATGTGGACATGTGTTTAATGGTGACAGAACTTTGAAATGTACCAGTGTGGAAGTATTTGAACAATTTTTTCGAACTAAAACAAGAAAAGTACATTAGTAAACTGATTTTCGTATTTGTGATATGTGGAAGTGTGCAAGTTACTCAGGGTAGTGTTAATTTCTCTTAATGAAGCGGGAATGTAAAGATGTCTGGTAAACACTAAAGGATGTAGAGGTATGATGAAATGTGGGCCAATGTCCAGAAGGCTTTGAGAGTCGCATGTAGCCATCACACTTATTGATAAAAGGAGGTTTTTTTTCCCGAAATTGTAAAAAAACATGAATTAGACATCCTACACCTTATTTATAGACAAATACTAAGTTTGCTATAACATCATAGTAGAAGGTCAAGATGTTTCGCTTTCTGTCATGTGGATGTGGCAGAAAAAAGAAAAAACCTAAGAACTTGAAGACTGATAAACAACCAGTATGTATTAATATATATAGTATGTATATGTACCTACCATAATGCAATAATGCAATTTACATATCTGGTTTACAAATTTTCATACACATACATGTAATATATACGTAGACTTTATTTATTAAAATCATGGTCTCTAATCACACAGATAGAATTAACTATCAGATAGTAAACATGTATTTAATATGTATAGTACATGTTAAAAGTTCAATACTGATAACCTGTTAATCGTACATATCATTAGAATATATCATTTATCTCTTAGTCTCTTAATAGTAACTGTATAGGCGTGTCTGTGTTTTAAATAGCTAGAAATGACCTTAGTACATACCACTAAACCCAGGCTTCAAACAATAAATGGGAGACTTACTATTATACAGCTTACGCCTTACTATAATATTGTCTTTGGGGTATAATAATAAATAATCTATTGTATAAACAGATTGTTATTTGATAGGATTATATATCAACATAATTTGTAAATATATATATATATATATATATGAATTATTGTATGTGATACAAACATCATTAGATTATAGTGTACTAATTCATATAGATGCAGTTCGGCACTGCCCAACAAAAAAAAAAAAAAACACAGAAAATTTAATACTAAAACCATGGACTGTGTATATATAGGTTACGGTCCATGCTAAAACAGTCAGCTGCTTGAATTTGTCACAGGACATCGTCTCTGTTATAGATGATCCCAGGGATGTGGTATCAGATGTTCTTAAAAGATTAAGTATACTGTGCCAATATCCTGCCAATAAATGAATATTATGCATTTTATTCCTGAATATTGAACAGTTTGTACTAGAAATAAAGTATTGTTATATATGTTATTCAAATATTGCTATAAACTTTGTTCTACCTCTCTGACCTATTTCTTAAGCACTGATATATGATACACATGTACCTTGAATTCCCCAAACTATAGTGTACAATGCTGTAAATATTTTGTGAGTTTATACCTTTTCATGATTTGGACAAAACAATTATTAGTGAATTTTGTCCTTTCCAAAAAACTTGTCTTTTTTTAAAGCTACATTAGAATTCACAAAGATTTTCAGTAGCTGAAGCTGACAATCTACTGCTGCTTGTATGATGGTTAAGAGAAGAAACAAGAAGGTTAATCCTAATCTCTAAGACAAACTCACCTTTGAACTACAGTTTGTGGTTGATCATTCTTAGCACTATTTACTAATGATAAACAAGTTCTACCAGTTTACTCTTATCATTTATAACAATTGTTAGATTGTCATTTAAAGCAAGGTACCAGTTACTCCTTGGACTTGTCAACAAATTGACTGTTAAAAGGTTGAAGAGGATGGATGCAAAGAGATTAAGGATTTCCACTCAATTGTATTCTTGACAATCTGGTTATCCCCCTTCCTATTGTCATATTACCATGTCATTTGTGTCATCTCTCACAGTAATTGTTTGAATCATTTCATTTGGTTTCTAACATTTTTTCTTAATAATAGCATAGATTCCCCATTAGATATTCTTTTTTGTGTCCGAGTATTTGGCTTGTGGCAAACCGAGTTACTTATGACAATTAGCTAAAATTTCTATTTCATATTCATAGAATAAGATTATAAAATCTTTAAACTCTATTTTTGCTAACATAGTAAAAAAAAATTGACAATAATGATTTCTAATACCTATCTTTAATAAGCATAGACCAAACGAAATTAGTTTACTAATTGTTATTCTGGCTCATGCTGGTAATACACCAACAGTAAACAGGCATATACACATATATACACATAACATTACTGTTTAGTACACAGAACACATGTTTATACATGAGATTTATCTATATTTATATAAAATGCAAATAACATATTCTTCATTCATAATGAATACAAACAAACAGGTACAACACAATGTGCACAAGTACTAACAATTATACAAAGATTGCAATCAAGTGTTGTTGATAATATTGTTTCAGCAAAATTGAAGATATTATTTTATATTTAACAAATAGATATAGTCTTAATTTTTATATTTCTAGATTTCGTCAACTGTAGTACCTGGCCAACCAGACGATATCTCCGCTAAAGATGCTCTCTTATATTGGAGTCGTAGAACAACAGAGGGCTATCCTGGTATCAAGATTACAGATTTCTCCAAGAGTTGGAGAGATGGTAAAGCATTCCTGGCGATCATACATCGCAACAGGTAATTTAAAGGGGTTTTTTTTGTTAGATATTTGTACACATAACTCGATGAAGTCCAAATGTGGCAGATGATATAATGAGCATAAATTTTGTTATACTGTCACATACCAACTTTGTTTTTATTTTATACGCTCACGTGGATGTATACTGTCATGCCCCTGTCCGTCCATCGGGACATCCATCCACAATTTGTTTGTGGACACTTTACAGGTCACAAATCTTATCCGATTTTGACAAAACTTAAAATATAGGTTTATCTCCAAAAGATCTCGGTTGCGTCTAATATTAGCATGTACTTCATGGATTATGGCCCCTGATTGTACAAAAAATTATGTTTTTAGCCTGTGGACACTTTGGAGGACATAATTTTTATCCGATTTAGATGAAATTTGAAATGTATGTTTATAATTCAAAGATCTCGGTTAATTTCGATATTTGCGCATATCGGACCACAACTTCCTGGATTATGGCCCCTGATTGTATGAAAAATTTGCGTTTTTAGCTTGTGGTCCCTCTAGAGGTAACAATTTTTATCTGATTTAAAAAAATGTTCAAATATATCACTGTTACACCACAAGGATAATTGAGTTAAAATTTCGTGAAAATCAGACCAAAACTGCTGGATAAAATGGCCGCTCTTTGTACGCTAATAGTGTTAAAGTATGTAGTATCAAGTTTGTGGAACCTCTAGAAGTCACAATTTTTATCAGATTTTGGTGAAACTTAAAATATATGTTTATATTCCAAAGTTGTCGGTTCCTTGTGCTATTCGCTTATATCAGACCATCACTTCCTGAATTATGGCCCCTTATTGTACGAAAAATTACATTTTTAGCTTGTGGTCCCTCTAGAGGTCACAATTTTTATCCGACTTTAAAAATCGTTTAAATATGTCACCCTTATGACAGTTGAGTTCGAATTTCATGAAAATCGGACCGAAATTGAACAACAAAATGGCCGTTCCTTGTATGCAAATAATGTAAAAGTATGTAATACCAAGGTTGTGGACCCTCTAGAAGTCACAATTTTTATCTGATTTTGATGAAACTTAAAATATTCAAGGATATTGGACTGTAATTTCCTGGATTATGGCCCCTGATTGTATGAATAATTGCTTTTTTTTTAGCTTGTTCTTTGTCCCTATCTTGCAAAATGTGGGCATATCTCGTTAATGATTATTATTCTGGAAAGATTACCTTGAACAAATAAATGTACAGTTTACACTTTAAAGATGTTAGATCATCATCTCCTTCTTTCCATTTATGATGGCACCCAAAAGTGTTGTCATGAAACACATATGCTGTAGGGTATTTTAAATTTCCTATATTCATTTAATGTAAATGAAATTTGATGTGATTATTTCAGACCTGATCTGGTTGACTACCGTAAGGTCAGACATCAAACAGCCCGACAGAATCTTGAAACAGCCTTTGATACAGCTGAACGAGATCTTGGGGTTACAAAATTACTAGATCCAGAAGGTAGGTTTAGTCTACTATACATACACTTCCTGTATATAACAATCTAGTATCATTATAATATATTTATTGCCACCCACCTTTCGAAGAAAGCAGGGGACTATTAAAATGGGTTCGTCTATCTGTCTGACCGTCCGTTACATTTTTTGGGACACAATAAATCTCCTTCTAATTGAGCTAGAATGTTCAAACTTGGTGTAGATGTTTATTAGGTCGATGCTTTGATGGAGTTTGAAGATGAGCATTTTCTGCTTAAGGTAAGCAGAGATAAGCAATTTGATTGGTTGATGCTTTGGGACACAATAACTTTATTTCTGATTAAGAGAGAGTGATCAAACTTGGTGTATAGTTTCATCACATCAATACCTTGACTAAGTTTGGTAAAGCAGAGGGTAAAGCAGAGCGATAAGCAATTTTATTGGTCGAAACTTTGAAACACAATAACTCAATTTATAATTGAGGTAGAATGTTCAATCTTGGTGTAGGCGTTTATTAGGTGAATGCCTTGATGGAGTTCGATGATGAGCATTATCTGCTTACAGTAAGCAGAGATAAGCACGATAACTTTGGTTATAATTAAGTGAGAGCTGTGAAACTCCGCATAAGATTCATTATATCATTATTACCTTGACTAAGTTTGATGAGAATTTTTTGCTTAGGCTAATGAGCGATAAGGAACATAACAACTCGGCTTTTAATTGAGGTAGAATGTTTAAACTTGATGTTGATGTTCATTAGGTGAATGTCTTGACTGAGTCCAATGATTAACATTTCCCGATAAAGCTAAGCAGAGCTAAGCAATTTCTTTGACTTTGATTCTATCTGATAGAGAGTAATGAAACTTTATAGTGTATAGTTGATAATCAGTTTGATTGCTCGATACTTTTGAAAAAAATAAACGTGCAATAGATTAATATGTGTCATATATTTATTTTGGGATTTTGGCGGGGGACATCAGCCTCATTGTTGGCTTGTTTTTAGCATTTTATATATATATATGTCAATGTAGTTGCAGGTATAATACAACAATTATAACTGTTCCTGAATTATGTTTTAAGAACAAAATTGTTAGTGTTTAATAGGTGAAGGATTTAGTCTGGTTATGATAATGTTGCTTTGTTTAAGTGAATACAACATTTTTATTATTATAGATATTGATGTTCGGGAACCTGATGAAAAGTCTGTACTAACATATGTTTCCTCATTGTATGACGTGTTCCCTAATGTTCCCAGCACACAGCAATCACTTCAAGATAATGTAAGTCATTTGAAACTTCTCAAAGGTAATGAATAGGCTGGATAACTTGTTCTAAATGGCATCACTGTCACATATGCCATTTGAAGATATCAGTCTGGAAACAATGTAAACTGAAAAATATTACTATGCTACCCATCAAAATTGCTGTATGTTTTATTTGATAAAGCTATTTACATAATATGGTTTTGAAGATGTGTCCATCGCTGCTGACCTAATTGATATTCATATGTCTGTTGTTGTAATTAACAGGAGCGGCAGTTAAAAATTGAAGAATATCGTGAACTGGCCACAACTTTACTACGATGGCTTCGAGATGTCCATGTAATGATGGATGATAGAAAATTCACACCTTCTCTTCTAGAAATGAAGGTAATTCACAATATTTAAAAACATAACTGTTTGCTGGAGGAACACAGCTTGAGCCATGGCTCAACAAATTCGTTCATGTAAAATTAACATAGAAGTTTGACTGAAATGGGAATTCAGAATTCAGTGATACCAAATGTTGACCCTGTTTTTTGACATTATGTTCTTTTTATGACTTTTTTATTTTGTATGACTTTTTTTGAATTAAATTCTTTTTTTTGTTTTTTTTTTAAACTTTTTAGGCCTTATTACAAGATTTTACAAAATTCCGTTCAGAAGAAGTTCCTTCTAGATTAGATGTCAAACAAAGGCTCTTTAAAATATTTGATCAAATACGGGTAAGTGCAATTATATTGGCTTTATTTCTCATATATTATGCCATATTCCTATTCTGTAGGAATTCCTGGGTTTGATTTTAAAGTTACATTTGAAGCATAGGTGAATGTTATGTTATATTTTATAAAATTTAAACACAAATAAGGCTAAAAATTGATATGTTATATTTTATAGAATTTAAGCACAGATAAGGCTAATATTGGTGTAGAGGAAGAGCTCTACCCTGATAATATCAACCGATTTTGGACCCGTTTTACAGCAGCCCTACAAGAACGGGATATGGCCATACAGGCTGAAATACTCAGGTAATTAATTCAATCAAAAAAATACAAAAAAACAAATACCTGTACTATAATATGTTTTAAAGATGATTGATTGAATTTACTCCTGATGACAACTCCGGTTGGATTTAAAATTGGTTCAGTATTCATTGGAACTGTGTAATTGATGAAAATATAAATATTATCTGGCAGACATTGATATCTGCATATAAATTTGGAATATGTTCCATATTAAAGTTTTTTTTGACTGCTTTTAGATTTCTCTCTGGTTTTGCTTCTGAACCTAGGCTTATGGCATGTGAATATTTGTATAAAGTTAATCTTATATATTTTTGGATATTTTCTTAAATTTTTCTTAACTTTTTTTTATATGTCAACAGGTTAGAAAGACTTCAGAGATTAGCAGAAAAAGTTAATCGTGAATGTAAACATAATGAAGAAACACTAAATACATTAGAGAAACGAATAAAAGATGTAGAAACAAGAATAGATACTGTCCACCCATTTGAGGCCAAGAGAAGTTGTGATTCCCTAGACCGTGATTTACACAACATTGAAGATACAGTGAGAAATCTTTTCCGCGATGTTCAAAGTTTACAAGATGGCCGGCATCAACAGGCTGATCATTTGTATAGACGGTAAGCCTATTGTTATTTTTAGAAATATTTCTCTACCAGAAATAGGCTCGTTTGTCAAAGTTATTTAATTGAAACTTTTTACTTGTATATACATGTGCAGATAATGTAAACTTAGTATGATTAAAATGGAATCTGCTTGATTGGACTAAGAATTTATTTTAAATTTAAGTAACTTTATACCACTAGGACTCACGTCATACAATTTATCTGGATAGGGACACCAAGGAATGATGTTTATAAATGTAGAACCAAATTTAAAGTTTGATTTTTAATTAGAATGATTTTGTTCACAGGGTCTCTGACTTACAGTCTAGATTATCACAGCTTAGAACACATCTTTATAGTAATGTTATCCAGCCATTGTTATCAAAATCCTATGTTGAAGAAGGTAGAACCGTTACTAAAAGGACAGAGGTTGTCACAGAAGTACGGTTAGTGGACACAAATCCAGCCTTTAAACACATTCAAGAATGTCTGAACTGGATTGAAGCTAAACAGCAAATACTAGATGCTGCTGAATATGACAGTGATATAAATCGTCTACAGAGTTTAATTAAAGAACACCAACTTGACCATAAAGAGGTGCTATCATTCCGTAAAGAAGTTGACCAGTGTATCAAAAACAGAGTAAGTATATTGTGAAACATTTGATAGATTATCGATAGTTTTTTTTTTTATGTTCATTTTGAGAGGATACCTGTTCCAGTGTATGTATTCCCAATGCATGTTCAGCATTCACTTATTAAATTGTATTTTCAGTGTTATTTTTGAAAATGAAATTGCCAGGATTCAAAGTTATTTTGGACTATACAGGTCACAATACTATGGAATACAATTACTGCTTATTACTGAGCGACGTTTTGACTAGGCTTCTCAAGTCATTATCAAGCTGTGATAAAAATTGAAAATATGACAGGACAATATATACATGTACACAACAATACTTAGTTAATGCTGACAAACAAGAGATCTCCCTTAATTAATTTTGGACTAGTTGGTTTGTAGGTCTTAAAAATGATAAGGTCACTTGAACAAAATCAAGGTGATATCTGGTACATCTACCATAAATACGGGAAATAGCGATGCCACGTTACCTGACATTTAAAAATACCTTTAAAAATCACCCCAAAAATACAAATTTGCGTCGTACAAAGACTGAATTTGTGTCTGATAGTGACTGTGAAAGGTGCTTTATTTTCAGACTTGTCTATCATCAATCATGAATCGGTTGCTTACTCTTGTTGATCTTTAGTTACTGAATCCTACTTGCTTATTTCAGCAAAGTCTTTCATCTGAGGAACAGAAGCTTTATACACAGAAACTTTCCAAATTAGAGGTGGCCTATTCGCTTCTAACGGTATGTATATATACACACTCTTTTTGGCCTCTTATCTCCTATACAGTGTAAATATAAATAACCTTTCACTTAATTACATGTGTATGACTGACATTTTATATAATCTTAAATGTGCATGTGTACTTGAACATGTATATCATTACTTTAAAGTTCAAAAGCATCTACCTACATGTGTTCAATATGCACAATTTGATATGACTAAGCCGAGATCATCAATTATATAATGTCGATAAGATTTCTTTATAATGCGGTGTCTCAGCAAGTTGATTAATGGGCCATAAGAGTTTCTGAACGTTAATGCCTTTAATGATGTTTGTATCATAAATTATCAAGAATTCATCTCTTTGTATTAAAATCTTCCTTTTTTCTTCAGAATACTTCCACTAGAAGACAGAAGTGTTTGGAGTCATTATTAGATTTTACACAAGCAGCCGCAGCAGAAGTATTGTGGTTGAGTAAATTAGAAGAGAGAGAAGTAGCTCGTGATTGGTCATCACGAGATTTAAATCTATCACAAGAAGAAGAATACTGGAAGGTATGTTTTGTTGAAACAAAAGAATTATTGCCATTGTTTTATTCATTTGTTTTTTTGTTTTTTTAAAAAAGAATAATAAAAGAAGCCACATGTAAAGTATCAGATTACTAGTAAGATAAATGATATTTTGTAACTGTTTGCAAGGCTGGTGACATCTTCTATGCCATTGTTAACATTTTTGAGATGTTTTTTATTATAGAGTTTAATACGTCAACTTGAAGCCAGAGAAGGTCAGTTTAATGCTGTACAAGAAAGAGGAGGAGCTATGGTTTTAGATAGACATCCTGCTGGTAATATAGTAGAGGTACAAATTAATATTTTATGAATTTATTTTAGCAAAAATATTGAGATGTATCTGTAAAACTATCCCTACTACATGTACTTTTTATATGCTTTTAAAGTTAGTCAGTGTTTTCTTGTTTACTTCCAGGCATTTATGTCCACAATGCAGTCTCAGTGGTCCTGGATGATCCAGCTTACAAGCTGTTTAGAACAGCATTTAAAACACTGTCTTGATTACTATCAGGTAATTTATAATAAAACTTACTAAACTTTAAACAGCCTGTTTGGAGAAAACTGTTTCAAATAACACAAACATTTGTAGGCATGCTATTTTACATGTAGAAACTGTTTCAAACAGCAAGTGTATGTTTGTTGTATGAATTAATACCTATATGTGTATTGTATTTGCTAGTTTTTTGAAGATGTACGACAATGTGAACAGTGGACAGTGCAACATACAGATTTATTAACTAAACGTTATAATAGACAGAATATTCCAGTAGAAGAAGCTGAATTACTTCTTAGAGAAATACAGGTTAGTTGAATAACAAATTACACTTATATTCACACATTCAAAAATCTTTTCCCTGCAATTAGTAAATTACTAATTAAGAATATTGCTGTATAAAATATGGCCTTTAATTCAATAACTCCCCAAAATGGGTAAAGAACTCTTTCTTTATTAGTCTTGAAATATATATTTGTAGATATTTAACTCCTTTCTTTATCTTATTGTAGGAATTACAAGAACATCTGAAAGAGTATGAGAGACGTGTCTCATCCTTAATTCTCCGAAGTCACGAAATTATTCCACTTCCACAACGTGGTCGACCGGTACATCGACCAATTAAAACTAGAACATTATGTTCATATCATCACGAAAATGTAAGTTATTCTGTCTTTTTGTCAGAGGGATTAAAGTGGTGTGATCATAGTAATGGAAGATATCTTACTACTTATTATCCATCCCAAATAAACATATTTATTTAGGGGGCTTATTTGGGTGTTTGATCTATTACTTATTTGCACTGAATATTGACAATTTTGTAACTTCAGCTTAGTCTCCAGAAAAATGAAGAATGTTTTTTATTAGACAATAGTGAGAGACAAAGATGGAAGGTAGGTAGAAATTATAAATATTTGTATTCAATTCATTGTGTTTATAATGACACACCAAAAATGTAGACTTCAAATTGTTCCACCTATGTCCCTAGGAAAGAAACAAACTATTTTGGAGATATTTTGTAATTTTGTTGTTTTGGAATAAAAGATGAACTGATGTGGAAAATCAAGATGAATCAATAATATTCATGCAGTATTTGTGAAAAATAAACATGTTATTTCCTCCAATGCTATTATTTGAAATGTATTTTATAGATAAAAACATTAAGTGGTAATGAAAGTGTTGTACCGTCTGTATGTTTCGTCATTCCACCACCTAATCAAGACGCTATCGATTATGCCAACAGGTAAAAGAACTTTCATAAGGAAAATAATTTTTAAAAATCCAAACATTGAATAATTTTATTTGTTAACACAGTTTAGATAAAAATTGAAAATCCATGCAGAACTATTTTCATCTGATCAAAAAAGTTTAATTGAAAAATTTTCAACTTTATTAAAATTCAATATACATGTTTAATGTCTAGGAAATGTTTTTATTATGTTTGTCTTTTATCATGACAATTAGATTAAAGATACAGTTAGATCATTTATCTAATATGTGGAAACACCAACAACGTAAATTAAGAAAAGATATGGTTTTCGCTACTATTGATATAGTTAAAGGCTGGGATCTTAAAAAGGTAAATAGTGACTTCTTGGTGTATTAAGGTAGTTGAATCAAAGACATTTGTGATAAAACTAATGTATTCAATCAAGTGCAAGTACTGATAATCGACAGAACTTAACAAATTTGTACCCTAGTTAGATGAAGGTAATAATTATTACATTGAATGAATTTTGACCTTTCCTGCTTATATTGATAGTTATGTTGTTTGGGAACTAAACTCGTTAGCAAACATATGCATCTCTTCTTTTACAGGGAATGAAAAATAGACCTCATGGCTTATGTCGTGTCAGACCCATTCACTTCATTCAACTTTTACTGTAAAAGAATTATTAAGATGGACTGAATGTTTAATGTAATGTATCATGTTATTATTGCAGTTCTGTGCCATGGATCCAGGTCAAAGAGAAGCCATCTGGAGAGCTTTAAATGACGATGCACAAAAACTGTTAACAGATTTAGCCAATGATGATATGGATAAACCACGATTAAAGAGAGAACTCGAATTATGCAATAAGATCTTCCTCGATCTCTCAGCTCAAGCTGCAGCGCTTGGTAGGTTAAATATGTGTTAATTAACAAAGTAACACTCTGTAATAAGAATGGTTTCGCATTGTACATATATATAGACCCTCAAGTTTACTAAATGTCATTGTGCTTGATAACGATAAGAGAATACTTATCGAAACGTTGTGCTTGTGTATAATAAACCAGTGATTGTTGTCCCATATAACTGTATAGTTTTGTTATGTTTCCAATTGCTAAATGCCACTAAAGGATTATAACACTCTGTATGTGAGGATTTGGCAGTCACTGTATATAAGTAAACCAGCAGTAGGCTGTTATATGGCTACTCTACATCTTCTGTAACATTTGATTCTAGGTGAATACACAGCAAGAAAGCCAGATCAATGATTGTTATATCATATAATAAATACACAATAAGAAAGTCAGATAAATGACATATTACATATACATGTAGCACATGCTATTTTGTTCATTTACAGTGATTGACAGTTCATTTCTTGATGTAACATAATGATAGATTTGTTAATTTTAGGGAAAACCTTGGGTTGAATCAATTTTTATAATGAAATATATATGAAACAAATAATGAATAAAATATTTTAAAAATCTTGATTTCTTGAATGGGATCAAGTTGAAGAATTTCAATAAATTGCCTTTAATTAATTTTAAATTAAGTGATGCAATTGCAGTATTTATTACTTTACCATTTTAGAAGCTCAACAAAGTAGATCATCATCAGAAAATCTAATTCAACAATTAGACAGCATTAATCGTAATCTTGGATTATGTGATCAACAGTTATCATCATTATTACACAAACCAGTACCACAGAGTAGAGTAGGCATACAAGAAGCTTTTCAAAGTTATAGAGTAAGTAGTGTTCTTTTATAGGAGGAAACAACCTAATGGTTATATTGTTTGAAAATGTATTAACCACATTTAAAACATTAGATGTATTCTGATGTCTGTCCTGTTTGATCACAATAGATTTCATGTACCAATTATTGCATCGCTCAGGTTTAAGAAAGAAAACTATATTTTGGATAATCTATTTGTTATTTCAGGACTTCGAGAAGAGATTAGATAATCAAGACCGTGAAATAGAATCTGTTCAGAAAGCTTATGTGACTGCTACACCCAAAACACAGTTAGTGGAATCTAAACTGAATCTAGTAGTAGAAAAATGTGGTGAATTAAAAGCTATATCTCATGTCTTTGTACAAAGGTATGTAACATATTGTAGAATTCTGTAAAAACTATTATAATAAAGGAGCCCTGGCTATAGTGAAAGAGTTTCATTACTTCATATTTAGTTTATAAACTATTTATCAATAAAAATAAAAATGATTTATATTGTATTATATATTGTATGTGTAACTATCTTATAGGTTAAAGACAGCCGAGACAGTTGTATCTGGTATAGATGAAGTTAAACAAATTGTCTCAGATTATGAAATCTCACTTTCTTCACATGATAATATGACTTCCAACATGAATTCTTTGAGAGACAGACAAGAAGAGCTACGTGTAAGTTTTGTCTAGCTTTAAGAATCGCATATAGAGCAATACTCCAGTATTAAATACTGAAATTGTTACATTCCCTTTTTCTAAAAAACATCTTTTTGGAAAGATGAATACACACATTACCATCTGTTGAGTGTACAGTGTAGAATATCAAGTGCCCATTTATTGAAAAATATTTCATACATAAATTATTTGAATGGCATATGGTACTGTTTTGTTTTCATTTGTTTAGGAAATCCAAAGTTCAATACAACAGCAGCAGCCCAAAATTGATCATTTAAAAAAAGATACAGGATCTTTACGGTCATTAGTAGAAAATAGTCGTCAGTCAACCATGAGACATCATGATGTAGAGGCCATAGAGAAAGAAGTTAGAGAATTGAGCACTAGATGGGACAATGTTTGCATACAAGTTGTTGAAAGGTTGGTCAAATGTTATGATGAATTTAGAGTTTATCTTCTGTATTTTTGTGTACTCCTGTCTGTCTTGCAGACAAATCATATTAAATGACTGGCTATATTTAAGCATAAGATTATCATTGTAAGGACTGATAAAGAACCACAGATCAAAATTGAAATGGACTGATTAAGTACAACCTCCCAATACATAGACTGTAGAATTCTTCTTTTATCTTTGTACAGGTTAAGAAGTGTAGATGCCTCACAAGACTTATTGTCAGTTTATCATAATGGCATACAAAGTGAACAGAAGTGGGTGGATCAAATGGGAAGTAGAATAAATTCACACCCTCCATTATCAGGAGATGTGATTGATGCCAAAGAACAATTAGATCCGACAATGGTATAGTAGATTATGGTCTTTTTAGAATTAATCTTGTATGTCATATTATTGCAGTTTATGCCTGGAGCTGAAAAGGTGTTACCTATGCTCTTCCTTCGGGGCAAATTTGATCCTTATTTAATTACTTAATGGTCTTTGACCAATTGCTTTTGAAGTTTTAGCCCATATAGGTTCCTGCATATACTCCCCCCAAAATGTCTTTAAAAAGGTTATGTTATAAATTGATAACATGAAGGAAGTTGATTTTTGTAACTATTTATAAATATTGCTTTTATTATTTTTAAAAAAATTAAACTCTCGTTCTCAATAATTGATTAGATTAAAAAAAGTGTACATTTCTTTTTTCAGGCTATTTATAACTCCCTCGGAGAACGAAGACATCAAATAGAGAATGTGAATCGTATTGGAGGCCAGTATATAAGAGAGGCTAAGGTATGCACAATTTGTCATTTCAGTCAAAAGATGTCCATGGTATATCTAGAATATGACCGTTCACATCTTTTGTTATATGTGCACATATTTTTACACTTCTATTGTTGTAATCATGTTATCTTTCTCTTCATTTCAGTCACATCAACATTCTAATTGTTTTTAGTTATATATTTTCAATAATTCTCTTTAAATTAAAAGCATGTGTTTGCCGTGTTGCATGTAAAAATTCCAACACGCTTTTCCTTTTTTTATGCGCACAGCGTCGAGTCCCAGATTGCTACTCTTAGAACTTTGAGCAGCGCATGTGCTGGCTCATTGCTGTTAGCGTTATTTTTTTGTGTTTATCATGATCATTCTATGTGTTGTCCTGGTTATGTTGGTGCAAAGTAGAAATAAAGTTAAATAGTAAATGCTCATAGTTTTTGTTTAAACTTTTTTTTTTAGTTTGGGGTAGTTTTTTTTTAGGCTTTTCCCCTTTTTCTAACCTAGATCTAATCAACTAATGAGTGTATGTAATTTTTCTATTAAAAACCCGTAAGAAGACAAGTAGTACTATGATATTAAAACTTTAGATCATAAAGATTGACAATTTATTTTTTAATAATGCTAATTTTAATAGAAACAAGCTAACACATTTTTTTTTTTTTTTTTTGGTGTCTGCGTTTTTAAAATTTAAATTTGCTTCCATAACTTTTAATAGTTTTCTTACCTCAGAAATCCTAGATAATTTATCTAATACTATTTTTTTTAGATTCTATTTTTATTTTTAAAATATTTCCCCCTCTCCTAACTCATCCGTGTTAATGTTTTGTCTTTTTTAAATCCTTTTTCATTGTTTTGTTTTTTTTTCGCCTGCTAATGAATTTAGTTTGCAGAGATTGTTTGAGTTGAAGCTTGTTGAACACAAACACGATATGTTGTACCAAATCGCATCCATATTACCCTCGTGTTTGTGAATTTATTAGCACAGCTCTGCACAGCTTGTACCTTCCCCTTTCATTGCATTGATTGTCTGCATCTGCTTGTTCCAAATGGTCCTATACCCTGAGTAAGTAGTATTTGTAATTGCGGTCAAGTATCTGCTGATTGAAATTAAATCCTCAAAAGAAAATATATTTTTATTAATCAATCAAAAGAAAGTGTTTTAATTAAATCAAAAGAAAGTATTTTTTTTTTACATTGCTATGTCCTTCTCAAATTATTATATGTATTATAAGTAAAAATGTTAAAATCCTATTTTCAAAAAAATGATGCCAGACAAACTGTTTTCATGTGCACTTCAATCAGAGGATACTGTGGATTGCTTAATTAAATAGAAAATTGAAAGTAATCAAATATCAATACAATTAAAATAAATCCCAATTAAATAAGTAACAATATGAATGAAGAAAGCCCAAAATACATAATTTTAAATGTTTGTGTTCAATGCACCACTGTTCTTTTATGTTTTGTTGCTTGCATGCTTTATTTATTGGTTCTGGATTGCTTTGCTTTCTGTAGTTATAGACTAATTGTAAGTTCTTGTTTTCTGAATAATCAAGCATATAATCATATTCTGTTCTGTAACATAAAAGGATTTTGCATGTTCATTTTGTGTAATAGTTTAATTAGATAAACTTACAGAACTAATGTCCTTGTCTCATAGATCACATCAAAATATGGGGGTTTATTTGAAGTACTATCACAATCCAAATATTTTAGAAAAAAGAAAATTTAAGGAATTGACATTTAAAAGAAAAAGAATAAAACATACCAGGATATACAATATCTAATGACAGAGATCTACATCAATCTTTCTTCTGGGAAAAAATACAAAATTCTTGACATAACATTGCTCTATGTTTCGTCTATGTTATTATTTTGTCTTGTCTTGTATTGCATGATACATATGAACATTGCATGTTTCACCATATTTAACTCTGCTGTTTAATATCCATCAGAGATAGGTTCAGTAATCAAACAAATATTAAAATATTAATTCGTGTATATTTGGTAATTTACCATAACAATATTGTCATTCTTATTGACTTCAATTCAATGAGCTGCATATATGCAATGCATTGAGACTAACATGATTTGTTACCATGCCTAATTTTTAGTTGCATGTCTGTGCTTAAGGGGAGATAAATCACTTCCAATTAATATTATGATGTTTGTACCTTTTGAATCTCTTGTTATGTAAATAAAAGAATGATAGCTGATTGTGATAGTGAAGGAAGACTAAATCCATCATAATTCAGCTTTCAGACATATGATAATTTTTTTATTCTGATCCAGTGCACAGCCACCAACCAACATATTATATTAGTAATATGTAGTAAAATTTTAATTAAGACTGCACCACGTACATCTGTGTGCATTAAGTGTTTTTAACATGATTGCTATAACTACAGATTATCATAACAGACTGTTGTATGCATGTATATAATTAATATTCATGCTATAGCATCATACAATATCTACTCCATTATACATTTGTCATAGAAACACTGAAAATCTTCAGCATATACTCACATAATCCATAATATCCCTATGTTATTCATAAAGGTTCAGATTTTCTTTTATATATGTGGCAATAACATGTTGTGACAATAACATGTTGAATGAAAAATAATCTTATCGAATTGTAGCCATTGATGATTCATCTAAATACTTAGGTGGTGTAAACTAAATTAGATTTAAGCAAATATGTAAATTTCTATCTACCTCATATATTCCCATTCACTGGAACAGACCCTCAAATTTTAAATTCTTCTGAAATTACAATGGTTTATTTAATATGAACTATTGTTTGTTGTTTGGTTCTACTGACTAGACTAGAAATCTTTTTATTTAGATTATATTACATTAAGGGGTTTTGTTTCTTTAAGAATTAAAGTTGACCCGGAAAGGGGGATCTATGGTGTCATTGTCTACAAGGAAATAAAATAGCACTGATCTAATTAAATCAACACTTTATTGTCAAATATGAAAAAAAATCAGGACTTGTAAATTTGATTTCTTTTGAGTATATACATTTGAGACCTATGAAATTATTAAAATTAGAGAGCCTAATCTGTCAGGTTTAAATTGTGCTAACATGAAATGCAAAAGACAACTCTCAACTTTTAGAACAATGATATGAAACATATGTGGTTATTCTCAAAGGGAATCATTTATCATTGCGTGTAGATATAGCTTAATTTTTTCAAAGGAATGATCACAATGTATAGTTATATCAAATAATACCACATTTTCATTTAATATTTATCTATTGTTAACTATCCAATGATTGGCGTATGGGATTAGAAAATATGACTACATGTCTTCATTTTGAACCATGGCCATATATAGATCAAAATTTTCACTGGTTAAAATAATATCTACTTGTAACATATATAATTCATATTACAATGTGATCTTTTCTTTGTTTTGCTTTGCTAGTTACTGAAATGCAAAATGCCTAGTTCTAGCTCCTGCTAGTACAAGTAATAATATACATAACAGAGCTAGACAACAAATCTTCATGGATCAAATGAAATTACCATTGAACACTATCTTTGCCAAAAAATTAACTTTAATTTTCTTTATTTTCTGTTTTGATATTATTCAAATATTATATTGATGTTTCCTTTTCTTCTAGATTTATGATAAAAGATTAGGACAATACAGGGAGGGTTTGGAAGACATTGATACAGCATTAATATCCTCCATGTCCAAAAGTAGAAAACGTCAAGATGGAGCTGAAATTGTTAAAATTGAATTAGATATGCTTAATTCAAACTATATGGATATGGTAAAATGGACAAATATGCGTCTTAAACAAATAACAGCCATTTTATCTGAAACAAATGAAAACGTACAGGTTAGTATTCAAAATTGACTGTAAATAATCAGCTTAATATATCATTAATTATTCAGACTTTCTGTATATATATGTCCTCTTAGAAATTGAAAATAGTGAAGAAATTATTGGAAATCACATTCTTTGGAAACTATTTACTATAGTGCATAATCCAGCAGTATTTATGGCTGTGTACAGAATATGCATAAAACTACTGTCTGAGCCATCATCTTTTTAAATCAGAGTTGGTGCTGACATGCCATAAAACCACATTTCATTCATTCATTTTAAATCAGAGATATAAATTTACTCAAATATTGAGCATTAAACAATTTCAAAACTTTGAGCACTAAACTTGTTATCTCTGATTTTTAAAACCATTTCACAATAATATTTTCCATTAAATGAAAAAGTTCTCTCCAATTTTCTTTTTTATACGCCCACATTTTCATGTGGACGTATATTGTCGTCGCCCCTGTCCATCCGCCCGCCCGCCCGTCCACAATTGTTTGTAGTGAACACTCTACAGGTCACAATTTTTATCCGATTTAAATGAAACTTGAAATATAGGTAATATAGGTTTATCACCCTAAGATCTCGGTTCCTTTCGATATTGGCATGTATCGGACTGTAACTTCATGGATTATGGCCCCCTGATTTTTAGCTTGTGAACACTGTAGAGGTCACAATTTTTTATCTGATTTGATTTAAACTGGAAATGTATGTTTATAACCCACAGATCTCAGTTCCTTTATATATTATATATTCGCGCATATCGGACCATAACTTCCTGAATTATGGCCCCTGATTCTACGAAAAGTTGCGCTTTTAGCTTGTGGACCCCATAGAGGTCACAATTTTTATCTGATTTAAAAAAACGGTTAAATATATCACCGTTACACGCTAAGCATGGTCGAGTTCGAATTTCGTAAAAATCGGACCGAAACTGATGGAGAAAATGGCCGCCCCTCATTCGCAGATAGTGTCAAAATAGTGAGTATCAGGGTTGTGGACCCTCGGAAGGTCACAATTTTCATCAGATTTTGATGAAACTTGAAATGCATGTTTATAGCCCAAATATCTTGGTTCCTTTGAATTTTCGAACATATCAAATCGTAACTTCCTGAATTATGGCCCCTGATTGTACGAAAAATTGCGTTTTTAGCTTGTGGTCCCTCTAGAGGTCACAATTATTATCCTATTTTAAAAAACGTGTGAATATATCACCATTACATACTAAGATCTTGGTTCCTTTTGATAATCGCAGATACCTGAACTTAACTTCCTGGATTATGGCTCCTGACTGTTCAAAAAATTGCATTTTTAGCTTGTGGATTCTCTAGAGGTCACCCTTTTTGTCTGATTTTAAAAAACGTTTAAACACATCAAAATTCCACCATAATGAAGGTAGAATTCGAATTTCGGGAAAATCGAAATGAAACTGCCGGACAAATTTGTGCGCAAATTGTGTAGAGGTGTGTAATACGAAGGTTGTGGACCCTCTAGAGGTCACAATTTTTATCCGATTTTGATGAAACTTAAAACATATCTCTATATCCCAAAGATCTCAGTCCCTTTTGATATTTTCACAGTTCTCTATCCATCTCTTGCAAAATGTGGGTGTATCGTGCCTGGCAGCCACTTGTTTTTTGTGCTAAAATTTGACCGTGTATCTGTTACCACTCGTCACTTCAGTCATTTATATAGAAGGATAACTCGTGTTTTCCTTTTGCGTTCATCACTTCCGTTTCTTGAAATCTTCATAACGCATCTATCATAGCAATGATCTCTGTGTTGAAATTATATTTGGAACGTTTAACCAGTTCTATCACATGTGATAATGACTGACACCAATATTGTCCTTTAAACCATATGTTCCACATAGAGTAATCACAAGGGAAAGCATCTACATGAGTTCAGATCATCGATAATTTGACATTGATTTCTAGTCAAAACCTGTCCAAATTATGCATATAGTTATTGTCCTTCTATAAGATGGTTTAAAAACAAGATACATCCAAAGCTTAGATATTTACTCGAGTGTATTTGATTTTATGAAAATGTGCTACAACTGATTATCGGGATATCCATGAAAGATACTGGATGAATTATATGTTACTGCAGGTTAAAATATATTTTATCCTCCCCGAAAAATTTAAAATATGGTTTGTATACATGTATGTGAATTCATATAAAAAAAAGTGTTCAGATCATCTATAATTTGACATTGATTTCTAGTCAAAACCTGTCCAAATTATGCATATAGTTATTGTCCTTCTATAAGATGGTTTGAAAACAAGATACATCCAAAGCTTTGATATTTACTCGAGTGTATTTGATTTTATGAAAATGTGCTACAACCGATTATCGGGATATCCATGAAAGATACTGGATGAATTATATGTTACTGCAGGTTAAAATATATTTTATCCTCCCCGAAAAATTTAAAATATGGTTTGTATACATGTATGTGAATTCATATAAAAAAAGCACTGTGTTGATGTTAAGGAACTGCAGTGGCTCAGTGAAAAAGGCCTTTGTTTGGTAACCTGGAGGTCCCATGTTCAATCTCGATGTTGACAGAAAATGTTCGTCAATATTTTCCGGTGTTGTTCCCCTTGTGAGTCGTGGACGAAGGGTATGACAATGAACAACATAATATAGCCTTAGGAAGGAAATAAAATCACAATGTCCTGTGTATACATTGGTGTGCACATAAAAGAACCCTTGACAATTGGAATTTGAAATAATAGTAGACTGTAGTGCCACTGTCTGGGCAAAATTTCCCTTATAGCACACTGTAAGTTTGAGCAGAACAGTATAACTTCCTTTATTATATAAACTTATTACCATAATAATACCATGTCACATGATCACAATCCCTTACTGTTATTTAACATTCTATTTATAGATAAAATTTTCCAAAACACCAAGTTTGTTAAAAAGACAAACGAAAAATGTCTGTATTGTCAGAACACCTGTCATTGGTATTGATATTGATTCATGTGGTTTTGTCATGGAAATGAGAAAAACTAGCTCTCATTAATATTTCCTAATTTTTTCTATTTTTATTTGTTTCAGTTTCAAATGGTTATTGATGATGAAATTCCCTTACTTCGTACATTCCGAGCCGAGTTGGCCAAGAGATCATCGATGTTGGTGGATGATGATATGCATGAGTTCTTCCAGCAACTCTCAGACGTAGAACATAGCCATTCAACTTATAGGTCTTTCGTTAGCAAATCTATTATACAAAGTGGTTCTACAGCAACAGCAGAGCTGACTCCCTCTCCTCAACAAATTCATGTGATAGGATCTGCACCAGATTCACCTTACACCTCACCTCAGTTGTCTTTCCCTACAGGACATTCCGAAAGTTTTTCCCAAAATAGACTGGCGCAAAAAATAGCAACCATCAGTAGTATTTCATTGACAAATCGTGGATATAATTCTATGGAAATTGATGAGGGACCAATTCATGGACGTTATCAAACTGTGTTTAATGTGAAAAAGACTGATGTAGCTTCGAGAGGATTACCTCTTCATGTGGCTGCAGTATTAAATCCACAAACTTCTCAGCGTCTAACATTAGTGGAAGCAATAAATGCTGGACTTGTTGATCCACAAGCTAAAACTTTCTTTGACCCTAAATATAGACAAAAAATGACTCTAACCCAAGCTGCTTTGAAAGGATATATTGACAATAGTTTGCATCAAAAACTAAATTCTCCTTGTGGAATAACTGACCCCAGATCAGATGAAGAATTAGTTCTTATTGATGCTATAGCTAAGGGGTTATATATTCCTGCTACCAATAAAGTGATAGACTCTACTACTGGTGATCTTGTGTCAGTAGGTGAAGCAGTAACTCGTGGTGTTGTTTCTCAGAGTTGTGCCGACACCTTATCAGGAACAGCTGTTAGTCTTACTTCAATCACCCACACTCAGGCTGTATTCGCTAATTCTGAACCTTTAAGAACCGAAATGCCACTAAGTCTAGCTCAGGTTGTGAGTAAAGGATTATTTGATCGAACAACTGGAAGAGTAATAGATCCAGTGTCAAATGCAGATATGACTGTTCTTCAAGCAGTTGAAAAAGGCTTTATAAATCCAAGTTATAGAGAAATTGATGACCCAAATACAGGAGATATTATTTCTTTGACTGATGCTGTTACCAAAGGAATAATAGATCCAGTTGCTGGTATGTTTAAACATAAAACAACAAATCAGAAATTGACTTTAGATGAAGCTCATAGGCGTGGATTATTAAAAATGCCATCCTCACTCTCTGATCTTGTTACATCGGGAGATATGTTAGAAAATGGATCTGTGTTTGACAAGAATACTGGTCTGGTACTCTCTCTTGCAGAAGCTGTAGATGCCGGTGTTTTGGATGGAGAAAGAAAGTGCTTAGTGGATCAGAATACCAAAGAAGTGTTATCAGTCACACAAGCAATAAAGCAGCAGCTTATAGACTCTGAAGGGCTTTATGTACCACCAGATTCCCATGATAATATGCCAATTTTAGAAGCAATAGACCAAGGCTACATTAAATTAGTTAGTGAAGATGTATCATTTTCTCGTCCAGGAATTAAAGATACTTTGACAGGGGAAACAGTTTCTGTTCCGGAGGCCCTAAAAAGAGGAATATTGACTGATAAAGCAACACTTTTAGACAGACGAAGTAACATTGAAATGACTGTACAAGAAGCAGCAAGGAGAAACTTAATTTCAAAGCCATTACTTGACAATTTGATGAGGCCATCATCTTTAAAAGACAGAAGTGGAAGAAATATTTCTGTCCTACAAGGATTAGAAAAAGGTATCTTGGACCCAGAACAAGGAATGATAAGAGATCCACAGACTAATAGATCAGTGTCTTTCCAGGAAGCCACATCTCTAGGTTTAATAACAAATGAAAATTCCACAGAAATATTGGGTCTGATCAGTCCACTGATAACATCAACAACCATTTTAACACACATTCAACCAAGTCCCACAGAGCTCATAACTGCTCTCACTATATCAGAAGCTACTTCCAGGGGTTTGCTAGATTCATCTACTGGCCAGTTTACAGATGCCAATACTGGTCGTGTAATGTCTATAGAAGAAGCTATCAAAATGGGTTACCTGAAACTTAGCTCTCAATGGCCAGAAACACCTTCCTTAAACAAATCGTATGATGAAATTGACAAACTTTCAAGATTATCAAAACTAGATGCATCAAAATTGCAAGTTGGTGAGCCAGTTGTTGAGTCAAGTTATATGACTAGAAAAGGAGACAATCAGTTTTCATTTACAGCCACCATGATATCTAAACCTTTGGTTACATCAAAGATGATATCTGAAACCAAAGAAATGACCGTCAAATCCGTCATAGATCCCAGAACTAGACAAGAAATCTCTGTACCTACTGCACAAGAAAGAGGACTTATAGATATAGAAAAGGGTTTCTACAGAGATCCATCTACTGGTCACACTATGGCTATTGTAACAGCTGTAGAAAAGGGCTTTATCATTGCTGAAAAGGGAGTTCCAGGATCACACCTTCAAAATGGAGAACCTATCAAAGAGACGAGATCATATTCAATTACTGGTGTGATCCATCCAAAAACTGGAAAAAGAATGCCTGTAAGTCAAGCTGTTAAAGATGGAATTTTGGATCAAGAACATGGACTTTACAATGGAGTGGACAAATTTGGCAAATCATTACAAATGCCCATCAGCGAAGCTATCAAAAAGGGAAATGTTATAGCTGAAGATATCAGTACAACAGTTTCCATGCCCGGATCTTTATTAAGAGAAACAAAGACATTTAATCTGAAGAGTGTAAAACACCCTATTACTGGTCAGCAAATAACGATTTCCGAAGCTATTGCCAAAGGAATACTAAAAGAAAATGAAGGAGTATATGTAAATTCTGCCACAGGGGAGAAATTGCTCATTCATGAAGCCATTGAAAAAGGATATATTGAAGCAGAACTTGTGTCAGTTTTATCTAACACTGAGGGAGATGTTAATAAAATAACAACAACAAAACTCACTACATTATCAGTCACCGCTGTTTTTGATCCTAGAACAAACAAGCTGGTCACTGTAGCTAAAGCCACAGAAGATGGGATCTTGGACTATGGTAGAGGCTTGTATAAGAATCCATTGACTGGAGAAACTATGCCTATCAATGATGCAATAGAGAAGAAGTTAGTATTAACTGAATCTACTGAAGTTAATGGTACAGAAAGTGACAATGAGTCAGATACCTCTTCTATTCATAGTATCCATATCACAGAGGAACAAGAAGAATGCCAGTCTACCATGGTGGAAGATATATCGACTGAAACTACCTCAATAAGCATCAACAATGTTTTTGACGCAGCAACTGGGGAACGAGTATCGTATGATGAAGCCATTGAAAAGGGGATCATTGATATTGATAACGGTGTATACATTAACACAAAAACTGGAGAAAATATTACTATAGGCAATGCACTAAATAAGGGCTTTATTAATGGTGAAGTTACCTCCCAACAGAAAGAAGAGGAAACATTCAAAAGTTCTGTTGTGGCTGGAACTTCTGCACTCTCCATTAGAAATATTACATCTGTTCTAGACCCACGAACTGGAAAAACCATATCTGTTAAAAGAGCTATCAAAGATGAATTGATCAATGTTGAAAATGGTACGTTTTGGGATACACAAACAGGAGATGAAATGGATTTTGATGAAGCTCTGAGAAAAGGATTTATAAATCCATCCAAACAATCTGACGCTGCTGAATTGGAAAAATCTGTTGATTATTCTGAAGATGAACTAGATCCACATGTTTTATTGTCTAAGAGCTTTGATTCTGATAAGCCCTGGTCAAATGTTGATATCAAATTAGAGAAATCTGTCCAGGATGTCCAAGAAGATTCCAACATGGCAACTGAAGTTTTACACTACTCAACAGATGTGGAAGAGAATTCTAATTTTAGTGAACCACTAAATCAAGACTTCATTACTCCACTTAATCTGATAGATGCTGTTCACAGTGGAATTTTCTCAGTCTATACTGGAAAATTTAAGGATTTAAATACTAGCAGACAGTTTACACTTTATGAAGGATTATCAGATGGGTTGATAGAAAAACATCTGGTCACTGTGAAAAATACCAAAACTGGAAAAAGGATTCCCCTAGAAAATGCTATCCAACAAGGACTTATTGATGGTTTTACCAGTGAAGTTGTTGATAAATCTACAGGAAAACGCATTTCACTGCCAGAGGCAATCTCAAGAGGAATAGTAGAGAACATTTTTGATACATCTTCAGGACTAGTAACTGATTTACAAACAGGACAACAAATGACTTTAAATCAGGCAATGGCAGATGGCAACATATCGACTGATCCATTTACTGTGGTAGATACAAGAACAGGTGATAAATATGCTTTGGATGAAGCATACAGAAGGGGATTAATGGACACACATGGAAATATCATTGACAAGCAGAAAGGGACGAAAATGACTGCTCAAGATGCCATTAAATTTGGACTGATGGCAGTTGTCGGAGCTCCCTATCTTGCAGGAAAAATGGTAGTTGATGCAGTTAAAGGGGCAAAGGATCAATCTGAAATTACTAGGAGAGCAAAGTCACCAAGAACCACCAGTATTGTTAACGGCAGTGCTCAAGAAGTGTTTAAACCTTCAACTACAATCATTTATGCTAAACCAGGAGATGATATCCACCCATCAAAACCACTTGATGGACAGGTGTTTTATGATAATGATGTTGATGATGATGATGACAGAAATACCCCGGTAAGTCCTTATGTAGACCAGTCTGTAGGAACTTCTACCTTTTCCTCTACACGATCTCAAACTTGGTATGAGGATGCCAATAAGGCATCAATGGTGAAGGGTTCCCAGCATGTATCTAACATGGGTACACAGGATTTAGTAGGTGTTTCATATCCTCTCAATAGTTCTCACCCCTCCTTTTCCTCTAGTGATTTTGATGTAGATTGGAACTCTAAGACTGTTATTGTAAAGTCAACGGGTGAAGTGCTAAGTGTTACTGAAGCTGTGCAAAGGGGTTACCTGAACTCAGAATCAATAGAGAATATAGCCCTTAGCTCTGGTTTAAGAAGTAGCAGAGAAATCAAAATAGATTGGGAAGAGGGGACCATATCTGACCGAAATTCGGGACAAAGATTTACAATTGAACAGTCATATGAGAGAGGTCTTATAGATAAACCCACTGCCAATGCTCTGTTAGCCATAACTGGACATTTCGAAGAAAATTCTACTTTTGGGTTAGCAGCCACTAATGTCCAGAACATTGGCCTCAAAACCACAAAGCATGTTGAAGAACACACTTCATATTCAAAATCCAGTATTTCTGAACCTACTAGTTTACAAGTGTCCACAACCATCATCAAGCCTATTGCATGTGTACCAACTCTTACTTTAAATCAGCTTATTGCAGAGAATACAGTTGTAGCAGCAGCTGGAAAGATTGTTGACCCTAGTTCTGGAAGGAGAATTACTATCAAAGATGCCATAGAACAAAACATTATTGATGTACAGAGATCAGTAGTTGTAGATCCAAATTCAAGTGAAAGAATAACTTTACAAGATGCCATAGAGAGAAGAATAGTTGATCCAAAGACAGGAAACTTTGGTAATGGTGGAAGTGATGAAAAAATAACATTACAAGAAGCATTCCTGGAAGGCTTTATTCCTGCAGTGTCCACATTATCTCAAGCTACTACTATGATGGGTCCATATGGTGGATCATTAAAAAGTGTAGAGACCAAGACAGAAAAGATTCATCCCCAAATACCATTGGATCTGGCTGTTAATCGTGGACTGATTGATGCTGAAAGTGGTACTTTTACAGATCCAGTCACTGGAGATGTTCAATCCTTAGCTGCTGCAATTCAATATGGATATATTGTATCTAATCAAGATGAAGTGAACATTACTGCTGCACATAGACAAGGACATCAAGCTTCTGGACCTAAAAATGTTGATAGACTCTCATTTGCCGAAGCACTTGATCAAGGATTCATTGACTTGAAGAATCAAAATTTCACTGATCCAAATACTGGCAATAGAATGGCTATATTAGATGCTGTACAACAGCAACTTTTAGATACTTCGACTCCTTTAGATACCAATTACAGTCCAGGGAAAAAAAGTTTGAAAACTCCTATTGATGAAGGACTTCTTGATGAAAAAACTAAGCGTGTGAGAGATCCTAGGACAGGAAGTCATGTCACCTTTAAAGAAGCCATCAATTCGGGAGTTATAGACAGTAAATACTCTCTGTATGATGTTCAGTCTGGGGAAGTGTTTGATCTCAAAGAAGGAATAGATAAAGGAAAAATTGACCCAACTACTGGAGAATATTTACACCAATCCAAACGACTATCTTTGAAAGATGCAGCAAAACTTGGTGCATTAGCTGTTATTGGGGCACCAGTTCTAGCGGGACTAGCTGTAAAGGAAGGAGTCATGTCTGCACTTAAAAAATCCAAAGATCATAATCAAGAAAAGGACATAGTATCATTCCAAGCCACTACTGTGCGTCAGCTTACTCCAAACACACTAGAAGTGATAGCTATGCAACAGTCTACACCAGCAGATGATTACAGCTTGGATTCTTTCAGCATGATGGAAGCAGTTTCAAGTGGTTATTTGAATATGAGAAGTGGACATTTTAAAATACCAAGCTCAGGGCAAGATATAAGTTTGATAGATGCTGTTCAAAAAGGATATATAAGAAATAATTCTGCTCATGTAAAGGACATCAGAACTGGAGAAACATACAGATTATTACAGGCCTACCAAAATAGCATTATTGATTCTACAGGTCATCTTCATGATGGTAAAGGAAACTACTCTATAAATTTAGACCAGGCACTAAGAGATGGTTTGATATTTGAAGTTTCTTCGAAAAAGCAGCAAACATCCACCAGTTTTACAAAAACCACAAGTCAAATAAATGTTCATTCTGTCCGAGATCCTCAGACTGCGGCTCATATGAGTTTAGAGAGTGCTATCCATAAAGGAATCATTCAACCAGCAAAAAACATATACATGGATACAGTGACAGGAACAACTTTGGGTATATCTGAAGCTATCAACAAAGGATGGGTAAAAGGAGATATCATTGAAAGTGTAACCACCAAAGAGAGGAAGTCAAAGGAAGGTTTCACAGCAGAGGTTGCTGTTACTGAGAACAAAGCATTGCATGTTCAGTCTGTAAGAGATCCCATAACTGGAAGAGGTCTTTCACTGCCAGAAGCTATCAATCTGGGCATCATCAACCAAGATGGAAGTCAATATTATGATGCTACAACCAACATAACTATGTCAATTGATTCAGCAATCGAGAAAAATCTAATGGTTGCCAGAGAGATATCTGTCGAGAGAGAAACAGATGAACGCTTTAGAAGATCCTCCGAAGATACCATAACCCATACTAGATCCATCAATATTGAATCCGTAATTGACCCAGTATCAGGACAGCAGTTATCTGTTCCAGAAGCAATTAGTAAAAATATATTGGATGTGAATAGAGGTTTTTTAAAGAATAAAAGAACAGGGGAGACTGTGGCTATACCAGATGCTTTTAAGGAGGGTTTATTGATAGGTAAAGAACTGAATATGAATTCTGAATCAGACAAAGTATCAAACAGGCAGTCTGTTTATGACCCAGATAGTGAAGAATTTCTTAACTGGAAAGAGGCTGTAAATAAAGGATTAGTAAATGTTTCTGCTGGAATGTACAAGATGTCAGATACAGAGAGTATGTCCATTGTACAAGGGGTGCGAGCAGGACTAATTCAGAGTGATGCCTTCAACAGAGACTTGGACGTTTCACAAAGGAGAAAATCCTATGATATTACATCAGTATATGACTCAATGAAAGGTAGAGATATATCCGTGGCTGAAGCTGTTGAGTCAGGACTTCTAAATTTACAAACTGGCACATTTAATGACCCGAAAAAAGCAGAAATAATTAATGTACAGGAAGCCTTTCACAAAGGACTTATAAAAGGATCTTGCTCTAAAACCAGTTACAAAGATAACTATGAGACGGAAAATATACCTATCAAAAACTTACTTGATACCAGAACATCAGAAATAATTAATGTTAATCAAGCAATTGAACGTGGCATCTTAGACAGGAATTGTACTAAATATTTAGATCCTCTGACAGGGGAAACATCAAGCGTGTTTGATGCTGCTCAAAAAGGAATCATAGCTGTAGATGAAACTGCTGAAATACCAATTTTAACATCTGTAGTCCAGAAATCAATGGATATAACGTCTGTCATCGATCCTGTAAGTGGACTAGAAATGCCTCTTTCAGAAGCAGTAGAGAAAGCAATATTTGATCCGGAAAAGGGAATTGTAATAAATCATCAAACCGGTCAGAAAATCGATGTGGAGACAGCTTTAGCTAAAGGTTTGGTAACGGCCAACACAGAGGAAGGACAAATTCCTCAAAAGTTTGCTGTTGTAAAAGGATTCATTGTTACATCAGTGAAAGACCCACTTACGATGGAAGACCTACCAGTTACAGATGCAATAAAACAAGGCTTTCTTGATACAAAAAAGGGGTTGTATTATAACCAGAAAGCCCAGAAAATATTGACCATGAAAGAAGCTGTTAACCAGGGATTGATTGATGCTAAGGATGCATCAAATGCAGGTGTTTCTGAAAGAAAAAGGCAAGATTCTATGCAGATCAATGTCACTTCTGTTATTGATACATCAACAGGAAGGGGAGTAGGATTGGAAGAAGCTATCTCTCATGGTCTAGTTGATAAAAATGTCACCATCTTCACTGATTTTAAAGCTGGAGAAAAGATGAGTATTGAACGAGCCATGAAAATGGGATTAGTGTCTGGTTCAATTCAAACCATAAGTACAACCCAAACAACTGTAACCACAAACAAATCTTCAGAAACACATGATATTACAGGAGTTATTGACACAGCCAGTGGTAAAAGGATGTCAATTGAACAAGCTCTAGCTAATGGTCTAGTTGACCCTACTGGTCACTTTATAGACCGAAAACATGGAATCAAGATGTCAATAAATGAAGCTATGAAGAAAGGTCTTGTATTTTCAGAAGTTGTACAAAAATCGTTATCTTTAAAGCCAAAGACCATTGAATCATCGATGAGATTTATTCAGGCCTTATTAAATGGATACATTGACACAAAAAAGGGGTTGTTCAACAATACAGTCACAGGGAAACATTACAGTGTTGATGAAGCAGTGAGGACAGGCATGCTACTTAATGATGATGATAGACCTTACATGTACCAGGGGCTTAACAGTAAGGGTATTACTTACAGTTTCAAGAATGCTCTTAAAGTTGGTCTCATAAATGAACACACAGGACTTTTTTGGGATGCAGTTAGTGGAAAGAATATTAATATTCAAAACGCATTGAATTGTGGATCCTTATCTCCAATTGTTGGTACTTATGGAGGAAGAACGGAAGGAGAATCTGTTATAATTTTGAAATCGGGAAGCATTTCCTCTTCAATGATTTCTGATAACGATATTATTGATCCTAGAACTGGAAAGAAATTGTCAACAAAAGAGGCGGAAGAAAAAGGATTAGTGTCTGTTGTTTCTACTGACAGTTCTCCATCAATCAGTGATGCTTTTGTTAATGGACTGATAGATAAAGACACAGGACTTTACCATGATCCAGCAACAGGAAATATAATGCCTGTTGACGAAGCCGTGGTATGTAATTTTCTTTCTATTGATACAGTGATGACAAATGGACACTCAGAACCAATTCCACAGGATTTCATGCCAAAATCAATTACAGAATCCATACAGAAGGGTCACATTGATACTGACAAAGGAATGTATACAGACCAACAAAAGGGGACAACAATGACTGTAACTGAAGCATTACACAAAGGTATTCTTGTACCATCAATGAAAGTAGATATGTCTGAAGACCAAGATTTTCAAAAATCAAAAGATCAGATAACTGTGGTAACTGAGGGTTCACCTTTTAAACCTAAAGCGGATATAGTTGTCAAACATGGAAAGATTGTATCCAAGACTGCTACAGAGGTAATAGTTACAACTGGATGTGCCACTTACACAACTAAGGTTGGATTTTCTATGAGTTCTTCTGGTGAGGTAATAAATATGACAACTGGTAAAAAGATGTCGATTCCTGAAGCTTTAGCAGCAGGTGTTATTGAAACTGAAGAGGTGTCGGGTACTGGTGAAGTTCAGGTAACAGGCCATGCTATTCCTCCTGTATTGGATCAGCTTTCAACAGGAGTAATTGAGGTTAATGTAAGTTCATTTTTACAGTCTCCTTACCTACACACTGCATGCCTTCACTGTGTTGTCTTTGATGTCATCACTTCTGTTTTATCTTTACAGTTCTTTTCCAATACATTCTTTTTATTTTTTCATTTAATAATCTTTTTTGATTTAAAGGAGGACAGTGATTACTTGATTATGTTAAATGATAATATTATTTCATATTTGGTAAGTCATGTATTTCTGTAGTTGCATAATTTTGGTACAGTTTATTATTTTTTGTTGGCACTTTTTATTCAAGTAAATAATATGTTGGGTTTTTTTTTCAAACCTTTTTTATCGTCTGTTATGCTTCGAGAATTCAACATTATTACCTTGTAAGTAATAAAAAGATTTATTTCAGAATTTACAACAGAAGAATTATGGTAATGAAAGTCTTCTTGAGAGTTCACTAAACAAAAATGTGGATGAAATGAGAGTTGTGTCGAATGATACAGTTCAGAGTACTAACACTGTTCTTAAAACTGATGAATTATATAACTCAAGTTTACTGGAGAGAAATACTCAGACATTACATAGTGATAACAATACCAAAAAAAACATTCCAAATGAAAATAGTGACATTGTTCTTCATTTGGATCATGTATCTGACAATATTTTGACCCAGAAAAATGTTCGAATTCTCTCTAATGACATCATTGACACTAGTGATATTAACCTTAATATTGATGAAATGGCAATATCAAATATACCAATTGAAACAACTAGGGTCATTTCTAATGATTGTATTCAAAATAACAACATTGTTCTTAAGTCAGATAGAATATCAAACACATGTATGACTGCTAACAGTGTCAGTATTATTCCTAATGACTTGCTAGAAAGCTCAAGTGTAGTACAAAACTCAGATACACTTGTAGACGAAAGTATACGTATTGACAATTCTAGACTCATTTCTAATGAACTAATTGAACATTGCGAGTTGATATACAATTCTGAAAAACCATCCAGATCATATTTATCTATGGATTTAGTGTCGATGGATTCAGATGCCTCTCTTGAAAGTGAAAACATTGTGCCAAGATCTGATAAATTAAATTCTAAAAATAACTACATCGTTGATTCCATCTCAGTTCGTTTAAAAGCTGAAAATATTGATGAATTATATTTCTATTCTAAAAATTTGCTATCAAGTTATTGGGATGCAGAGTTTGGGAAAATAATTCATCCTAGAACAGGTAAAAAAATCAGCTTAGAAGATGCTATATCTACTGGACTTATACCTTATAATATTCATGTGAAACAGTTTGGCTCAGAAGAAATAACTATTAGTCATGCACTAGAAACAGGACAAATGGACAAAAGAACAGGAAGTGTCATAGACATGAATTCGGGAAGTGTGCTATTGTTAAGCGATGCGTTGGAAAATGATCTTATTGTAGTTAGCAGGATTAATGATGAGGCCGTTATTGATAGTTTGTCAGATATAGTTATAAAAGAATTAGGAGCTGGTTTATTCAAGTTATTAGCCAGAAATGAAGTGAGTCTTTCCATGAAAATATTAGATCGAAGAATTGGTAAAAAACTTTCCTTACCTAGTGGAATTAAACATTCGTTACTGTCACCAGAAACCAGTAATATTAAGGACACTGTATCAGGAAAATGGATGACATGGAATGATGCTAAGCAGTTGGGATTAGTTTTTGATAGTAAACCAGTCTCACTTTATAGAGCTGTTTTTTCAAATGTTTACAATCAAACTCTTGAAAAATTCTGTGAACCTGGTAGTTTTGCAAAACATGTGACACTTGAGGAAATGCTAAGAAAAGGATTTATCAAAAGAACTGAAGAAGAGGTGTTCAGTTTTGAGGATGGATGTTGGATAACTGTTGCAGATGCTATTGATAAGGATATACTGGAACCAGTAAAGGGTAGATATTTCCACCAGAAGTTGGGTAAACGTATTGCTCTGCATGAGGCTGTTAAAGATGGATTTATAGACTCCTCAAAAAATAAAGATCTTGCCAAAAGCCTGTCTTTTATCAATGAGCCTTGTAAAAAGAATATTCCGAAGATCCTTAATAAAATATTTCCTGTGGACTTGTTTGAAGCTTTGAGGTGTAAGATCATCGACCCTGTTACTAGTGCAATTACCCAATTAAACAAGTCCAAGCTGACTTTCATGGAGGCAGTAGAACAGAGAGCAATATTAATAGAAAATTGTTATGTTGTTGATCGCAATACTGGATTGGTTTATACTTTTCAAGAATCAATTAATTTAGGCCTGGTTGATAAGGAATCAGGATGTGTTTATGATACTTTAACAGGTGATAAACTTTCTATTGTGTCCGCTAAACAACATGGATTACTGCAAAAATCTCCTCACCCGTTTCTACCTCTGATAATAGCATCCCAGATTGGACTGTTTGATTCAGAAGAGAAATGTGTTATTCATCCAGTTTCAAGAAAGTCAATGTCTCTTACAAGTGCATTAGCAGAAGGTATCATAGATCCTGCCTCTATATTAAAAACACCTGATCATGATCGAATAACTCTCCATGAAGCTGTAGCAAATGGTATACTAAATGTTGAAACCCTAAAACTTGAATTTCCAACCGGTAGGAGAGTTTCTCTTTCCCAAAGTATTGGATTGCGGCGTATGACACCAAGAACATCTGTTGATATGGGAGATAGGAAATCAAGTCTAACTCTTGATGAAGCAATAAGTTCAGGAATTTATGATCCAGTATCCAATTCAGTATCCAAAGACAACAGAATATGCTCATTTCCAGAGGCTTTGAAAGAAGGACTTATTCACACAGACTCACTTGTTAGAGATCCATTTTGTGGAGATATACTCACGCTTGCTGAAGCCCTCGATAAACGTATAATAGATGCTAATTCTGGAAAAATGTTTGACTCTAGCTGGCAACCAATTGCTTTAAATTTTGCTTTGGAAAAGGGATTAGTATTGCGCTCAAAGGCCCCATTAAATCTATCCTTATCAGAAGCTTTGGATGAAGGGTTGTTCAATGTAACTTCAAATAGTTTCATTGATCCTGACACTAATTGTGAAATTGATTTCAATAGTGCTCTTAATTTAGGACTTGTAAGTGAAAATCTGATTAAAATACGAAACACTAATACAGGAGAAATAGTGTCTTTTAATGAAGCTGTCGATATTGGTCTTGTGGATTTAGAAACAGGTTTGTGTGTTAATGCCTCTGATGGTGATCAGTACACTATAATAGATGGAATGGATAAGGGTATCATACTGGATTCATCAAGTCAGCCAGCCATAAGTCTACAAGAGGCTATTGAAGAAGGCATTTTAGATCCATCTTCTTGTCAATTTAAGGATCCGGTTTGTGGTTTTAAACTTCATTTAAAAGATGCAATGGAGTCTGGGCTGTTGGACAGAAACACAGTCATGGTTAGGAATCTTGCTGATGATACTGTATTAACAATAGATGGAGCAATATCACAGGGTATTGTTCATTCCAAAGATGGAACTTGTTTGATGCCTAACATGGAACCAATTTCTTTTGCTGAAGCCATGGAAAAAGGAGTGGTATTTTCTGATGTTGGTATTAATGACAAAACATTAATAGAACTTGTACGACAAGGAATGTATAATGCAGAAAGTGGAAAATTCACTGAGCCATCAACAGGAAGAACAAGAACTTTAAAGGACATGGTCAGGGATAACTTTGTGGAAACTGCTGGTTTAAGAATATTGGATAATAACACTAAGAAAGTTCTTTCATTCAAACAAGCCCAAGAATCACTAATACTTGACTTAAAACATGCAATTGTTGTCGATACAGAGACTAATGAAATGTTGAATTTGACAGAAGCTGTTAAACGAGGATTGATTCAAGAGAGTATTGGCCATTTTCAATCAACTTTAGATGAAGCAGTTAAAAGTGGAATGCTACAAGTAACAACAGGGTTTGTTATTGATCCTGTATCGAGAAAACTAGTAACCGTCCAAGATTCGATTGATTTGGGATTGATTCAGACATCTCAGTTACTGTTGAAAGAACCAGGTACTGCAGAGTATATACTTTATGCTTCAGCTATAGAAAATAGTGATGCCTTCATAGAAGAAAACCAATTAGTATTTGCCAGATCTGGTTTTGGATTAGATGTTATTGATGCTTACCAGAGTGGATTATTGGTGAATATACCCAAGAGTGGATTTTCTATGTCAGAGTTATTGAATACTAATCTATATGATTGTTTTAATGAAAGAATGAAGAACCCCATTACTGGAAAATTGTTGACTGTAAAAGAAGCCATGGAAAGTAATTTATTAGATCCTGATTTGCCACAAGTTGATGTGCCCAATGTTGGAACCTTCTCTCTAAAACAAGCTATTGATAAAGGCCTTATAGATCCAATAACAGGGCAGTACCTTGCATCTAATACACCAATCAGTATTCAGGCTGCGTTGAAGGAAGGAAATGTGGTAAGAGCTAGAAGTCCAATCCCATGTCTTAAATCGCCAATCTTCAAGAAATCCATTTCATCAAGGAAAAATAGTCTTGAAAATATGCAGTCAATTGTTGATATGCAAGGTACATATATCCTAGACACAGTCTCTGGAGAATATATACCTCTGAACCAAGCCTCAGAAAAGGGGTTAGTGGATTTTGTAAACAAAACAATACTTAATAACAAGTCTGGACAGAATATTTCATTCCATAGTGCCCTTCTAAAAAACATTTTGATTGATAAATCGGATCTGAAAGTTGAAGAGATGTTGGGAGAAGAACTTTCTGTAGAAAACAAACCAGTTGAGAATACAAAGAAGGCGAATACAGAAGTTATTATGAAAAACAAATTATCAATAGATCCAAAACAGTATATGATCTCTAAAGAGAATCTGCGATACTACCTAAAAGTCAGTGAAGGAAAAGATGATGAAAGAAGCTTATCAGACAATGAATCTTATGTAAAGAGTTATTCACAAAGAGATTCAATCAGACGAAGTCTCAGCCTAAATGTGGGAATTCAAAATAAGGATG